AACACTAAGGAGCCACAGGGCTCTTTGGATACTTTGGTGCAGAAGGAATGTAGGTTGCACTCTGCAATCTATGTATGCTTCCATGAGTCAGTCCAGTAAGATTTTTTGCCTCCGTGTGAAGAGTCTAGGCATGATTATCCTGGAGCAGCCCTCACACAATCCATGTTTTATTACAACATATCAGCCATATAAACTTGCCAAAAAAAAAAAAAAAGCCCATTCTCCGGGTTAATCCAAGAAGGTTGTCATAGTTGCTGGGCTTTTGAATAAGATCCTGGAATGATTCATCCCAATGAGTAGGAACAAGCAGAACATTTCTGGACAATGTTACTTTTATTGAGTATTCATTCCTATGTGCGTTCTATCATGCTTTGTTTTTAATCTGCATTTTAAAAAAATCTCTATGAAAAATTACATCTAAACATACAGTCCTAAATGCATCTTCTCATAGCATATGATTTTCTAAATGTATTTGTATTCTAGAAGCAAGCACAATATTACAACAGCTCATTTAATTTTAGACCTGATCTGCAAGCTTCAGAGAAGTATATAAGAAGGATAACAATGTTCACACCTGCACATTAGCCTGGAAGATGCAGGTCACCTCATCCTGCATTGGAATTCAAAAAGTTAACCTTTTCATCTGCATTCAACTAAATGAAGTATTCTCCAAGACCTCTCTTGTAACAAAAAGAGTTGCTCCAGGCTTTTTGAAGGCAACAGTTAGAGTAGCATGGTGATTTTAAAAAACTGCGCTGTGAACCATCAAAACCAAATTTTAAGTCTTACTTGTGCAGGAATGTGACCTTGATCTGTACAAAAGCAACAGAATGAGGTGGTCCCACAGAATGGGCCAAAACCCTTTAAACTGCATGTTGATCAGCATAGTTTTGACTATTCCTCTGCATTAATAAAGCCCCACAAACAGAAAACCCTGCAGACCCTGATGTGCTAACCTTCTATTTAAAGGCAAATATTTTGTTCATACTCTTCAACTGTAATACATGTAAATCTCTAAATACTCTATATCATACAACACAGATAGGAGTAATACACTGCTTTCTGTTTCTTTTCCATCAATAAACAGGGGCTCATAAAAAAAGAATGAAAACACAGATTCTTAAAATCTCTACAAAAGCAGTGTTATTTAGTCATGCTCACTCTGCAAACTATGGAATGATGTCTTAGAGGCTGAGTAATCAAAGTCCTATTTGTATGTGAGACAAACTGGGGGAAAGAGAAACAGAAAGTTAAGACTGATTTCAATGCTAAAAGGCAACAAATCCTGTTCTTATGTGAAGGAGATTAAGAAATGACCTCCATGTCTCAAATTCTTACCTCACATCCCCAAACCTACACGGGAACTGCTTTTTTTACTCAGTCAAACCCAGACCTTGCTCCAGATGCACACTCTTGCTTCCCAAAGTCATTGTATGACATCCAGAAATAGATCCATAGCTGCCATCAGACTTCAAGCTGGCCATCTGAGGACAAACACTGTCCCTCTGGCTCTGGCCTTGGTTAATGGAAAACTTTTCATTTGCTCTGTTAGGAATCCAAAGCACCTTTCGCTGATAAGGCGGGGAGGGGAAAAGCTGGGAGATATGGATCTGGGCACCAAGGGGTTGTTTGGAAAGTTCAGGTCATGATTAGAATGATTACTAATGGTCAGCAGATACTTTGTGATCCTTTGGTGGCTAGTTTTTGATGGACTAAAATGTATCACAGGAATGGACGGTCTGGTATCCTCAAAATACTTTGTGGGGAGCTTTATCAGTTTCATGGCCTAGAGGGCTGGGTGCTGTTATCCAAGATATGAATCCATATAGATTGCTGAGACTGATGCAAAATTACATAGCCCTTGCTAACTATATGACCCTGTAAGAGCTCACTGTTCATCAAGATTGCACTTTCCTGGTCACTTTCCATAGGTGAGCAATGCCCTACCTGCTAAATGACCAGAGAATATACTCCTGCTTTACAAAGGGAAACACACACGGGAGCAACTGAGTCTAGGTTAACAAGAAAACAAGATCGGTCAATGCAAGCAAGACTCAAACAACCAACTTATCCTACTCCCGCTATAATAAGTAAAAGGATTTGGTACCAGGTTTAAGTATCAGGTTGCCTATTCCAGCCTCGCCTAAACAAAAGCTAAATTCTTGCCTCAAGTGGAAGGGATGACAACAGTTGAGAAGAAAATTCTGAAACAGATTATTAAGCAGTTGGTATGAGAGCATTTAGAGAAGAATGCATTGCTTGCCAAGAGCCAGCATGGGTTGATCAAGAACAAGTCATGCCAAACCAATCTGATCTCCTTTTTTCATAAAGCGACCAGTTTAATTGGCCACAAGAATGTGGTAGACATAACGTATCCTGATTTCAACAAAATATTTGATAAAGACTTTATGAGATTCTGGCAGAGAAAATAACACGTAGACTGGACTTTGTTACCGTTAGAGGGATACAGAGCTAGCTGAACAACTGCATCTGATGAATGTTATACCAAGGGTTTCATGTGAAGCTGGAAAAGTCAAAGGACATCCAGGAGAGGTCCATTCTAGATCCTGTGATGTTGGCATTTAAGAAAAAAAACAAAATCTGTAAGTGGTGATGCACAGGGGACTTAGCAAATGCCCTAGAGGATAATATCAAGATCCTGCAGGATCTTGATAAGCTGGAACATCAGGCAGAAAGAAGCAAATTGTAATGGGAGGTATCTGTGAGGAGGAGACCGGTATGGGAGATCAAGGCTGTCAGGAGGGGGGGAGTGGATTCCAGAGAGGGGGACAAGGCAAGCGCCTTCTCAGTCCACAGCAAGACCGTGGGAAGAAGAAAAGGTTTAGACTAGCCCTGCCCTAGAGTATCACAGGGTATATCCACTAGTTGCTGTACTGTAGAGTTAGTCTGGCAAGATTCTGTCTATAGGGTGGAAACAAAGAAACTGTACTGGACTGAACTGTCTCATGGTCATTCTTGGGCTGAGCCTTGACACAAATTGAATTTTAACACGGACAAATCCAAAGTTTGGATATGAGTAGGAAAAATCAAAGACGTGAAGAGCAGGAAGAGCAGCACATGCAAATATGATCTGGGTGTCTTGGTGGCTCACAAGCTGAAC